CATATACATTCTCTCAAGAAAAAGAAAGGAAAATTGCGGCAATATTCATCTTCATCCATAACTCATATTAGTCGAAACATCTCTGTATCAACGCACAAAAATAAATCTGTCACCAACAAAATATACTTTACTCCTTGTAGAATATGATATCAACACTCATATATATTTAGGTTTTCAAATCTGTTTCCTTTTCTTATTTTGTACACTAGAAAACACAAAGGATATTCATTGGAATGATTTTTCTGATATATACATTTCATCTTCACTAAAGATGAAGAACATATTTATCTATATTACTGATTGATATTTTTATGAAGATATAAATCAATATAAATTATCATTCAAAGTCTATCAATGCTAAACTATTCTAATACGAATACTTTAGCATTATTTGTTATATAGGGATGCATAATGAATAATATTCTAATTCCATTATTTCAATTGATTTCCAGTGACCATCAATTAAATGCTATTAATAGAATTTATTCCTAGCTAGAAAAGTATGGTTAAATTATTGATAAATTTTGCTTTTTTCTTAAGAACGAATATATTGGAACAACTATCTGTTATTTTAAAAGGATTCATATATCTCTACATTTACATTATAGTCGAACTAAAAAATGATTCATTCTTGCGTTGTGAGACACTAACTTTTCAGTAGTACATTTCATATATTATAAATTTGGTTTTTGTTTTCGTTTCTAGTTATAGTAAAATGTTTTCAGGAGATTCTCGTTTAAATATTAAATTGATAATAATTCTCGGAGTCAACAAGACCACCGTTGGTATAATACTTTTTTAACTTACTACTCGATTAGTAAAATAGAAGAACCAATAGTTCAATATCATGTATCGTGAATTCGAAACTTTGAAAAATATTCAATTACTACTGATTCCTATACCTACGGCTAATTTAATTTTTTCCTCCTAAATATATACAACCGCATGTATCATGCTGTAGCGTTTTTCTTGATGTTTAATAAAAACAATTGTTGCTCTGGCGAGTCAATGTGATCATCAACCCGCACATTTTCGTCATCGCAACATATGTTTGATCAGAATTGATCATTTACCTCTTGATGCGTTGTAATAAGTAACTTTAATCGACGATGGCTGGGACACGACATCTGTGTTGTCTGTACACATATGATGTCAGAAATACAGAACACAAGAATGCAATGTGCAAACACAAAAAGATTGACGTGCCCTACAGACTAACGAGAGAGATTGCTGATTACAACTTACTAAGAGGTATATGATAAATTCTGATAAAATATATGTTGCGATGACGAAAACTTGCGGGGTGATGGTAACATCGACCTGCCAGAGCAACATATTACAGCAAATAGAAATATTAATAAATCAGTTCGTTGTAGAATACTTGATTGTTTACATTATTTTTTCAGCAGCAAGTTGAAACTTTTTAATATGCCAGTGCCATGATATTTTATTTAATGAATACAGCTGAACTGTTCTGTGTGATTTGTTTAGTGCATAGTTAAAATAAGCAATAATGATTGTTGCAGAATTCATTCAGAATATATATGGATCAACATTTGAATATTGAATCTGTTAGTATTTAACAGTCAATCAATAGTGCTCATACTATTTTATGAAAGATTTCTTTCATGATTCTGCAGTTTTGTTTTGAACGATAACGAGATAGTGAACTCAGAAACAAAAAGAAATATAGAACTAATCAAGTTTAAAGTTATGAAAGTGGATGGATATTATTCTACCATGTTTTTTGAAAAACTTTTTTCGAGCTTATTTTGTGGCTGAAAAATTAAGATTAATGAAAGGACTAGGAAAACCCTGATCTTATTTCGCGATTTAGTTTAGCTTTTCAACACATATTTTGCAAGAAATTAAGATCATTAGATGCAGTTTTATTTTTTCTATCGAATGATATACTTTAAGACAAGTCTCTATATCGCAAAACCTGAAAATTTGATGGTTTTTTATAAAACGGATGGTGCTCCAGGTATTTCGAGTTTTCTAAGGACCTGGTTTGATATTTGTAATTTAAACTGACATAGTCAGGTAGAGAACAATTTTCTCTATCGAATGAGCTATTTTTCAAAGAATTTTGATGAAAAATTTGTGTTCTAGAAAGAAAATAATGAAAGTGTCCAAATAATTTTTTTGCGCAGAAAATCAAAGGTTTTACTAAAAATCCCAAAAAATCCACCAAAGATCTTTTTTTAATAAATAGTTTTACTTGTGCAATAAAGTACAGATTCGGGGCTATCGAATGCTGTATTGAATGTTGATAAAATCGTTTTCTATGATTATGAAATCTGCTTCACAATATCGGTATAATAAGTGTCCAAATAATTTTTTGACATAGTGTATATATATATCATCATTTCACTCTTCGATTACTGATTTTCTTTGACTTTGATAACTTTTTGTTTTCTTTCTTTATTTGTCTTAACCATACCTAGATTCATCACTATTCGTTTCTTGTATTCGTTATATCTTTTGTCTTTGTTCTCTCTCTTTTTCTCTATTCTCTCTTTCTATGATCTAGTCATATATACATGTATATATATGTAAACATTTTCATTTTCAATGAGAGAAGTTAATAAAGTGATTTTGTGCAAGTAACATTGCACACACACACACACTTATATAATATTGTTATATATCACAAGGACAAGGTTAACTACACGTTAAAACTATCATATGTCAATTTTGTTTAATTTATATTTCGATCATTATTGAAGAACATCAATCACAATATTCATGTCGATGAAGTTTATAAACAACTACTAAACTTTGTTTATCGGTTTGTATTAAATTGAAAGATATGTTTTCATTTGTTGTCTTGTTTGTTTTAGTCATTAAAATTAAACATAACTCGTCTATAATTATCTTAATCATCAACAAAGAATACATCTTTTTCATTCAACGAAAAAAAACAATGATATGTTCAATAAATTCACAAGATGATAAACCAGTTTTCTTGAATGAAAGATTATCTATAATCAAATTTCTGTAAGTTTATTTTTCATAGATAGTAATTCAATAACAACAAATATCGATAATGTAAATTAATTTTGTTTTTATTGAAAATTTTTATTAAGAAAATTGAATAACAAATACAACAATTGATAATCATATTTTAACACATTAAGTTTCATGACACAAAAAGTCTTTCATTTCGTTTTCGTTCTCTTTCAGAAGAAATAGAATATAAGACAAAAAAAAGTAGATGAAGCGTTTTTAATAAAGTTTTCTTTTTATCAATAAATCTCATACTAGACAGTACTAGAATAAGGTCAAAATCGACGATCTCAAACAATGAATACTATAAAATCTAAATCATCAACAACATAAAAGATTTGTGGTTAGGCTTCGATGATTGAGTAATGAAAAGGATTCAGAGATTCCAATATAATTGATTCATTTGTCGATGAATATTCAAAAAAGAAAAATATTTGAACACAACAGGACATTATAAAATCACTTTCTTTTTTATTTTCGCTTCAAAAAATTTTATCAAAACTTTTGATTTTGTAACACATAAATGATCCTGAATTTCTCCTTTTGTATCGGTAAAGAACTGAGAATCCTTGTAAATTTGATCTTAGGTACAGAAATTTTTCTCGAATCTGAGATGAATCCTCCTCAAATCTAGTTTTTATCATATCTAGATTGAAAAAACTTCAATTGGAAGCTCTTTATTCCAACATCAACGACAATCTACAGCATAAGAAATACTTTTTTTTACAGATAATCCTATAATAATTTTTTTACGAGACTCAGCCTTAGTTAATATATCTATTTTCTTTTCATAAAATAGTTCGTAGTTAATTGAAATATAGACAAATAAAACAATAAAAAAAATAACAAATTCAAACTGGGAATAGAAAAAAGAATATCTAAATGAAGAAATAATTAAATGATTATCGAAACAAACTTGTATTTTATATCACTAGAATTAGATTTAATTGGTAAGTTTTTTTTTTATTAGAAATCAAAATGTACAGTTTGTGAATCATCACTTCGAATAAATTCCACGAAATGATGTTGTTAATTAGATTCTATTAGGTAACATTTCGTCAATGATATCGACATCATTAGACTACTTTAGAAATAAATACATAGATTCTTCTCTATTCTATTCACAAGGAAACGAAAAGAAATCGTTATATTAGAGATATTAAAAATGACATTTTTCTTCTTGAGTTTTTCTTCGTTCGTTTCACTATTTCAAAAATAAAGAAAAATGTACGTCTTTATTATTAGTTTTTTCTAATGAACTTGAAGAAGGTCCACAAAGTGAAACAACAACTAGTGAAATCAATCGTTTAAAACAACGTCAAGTAAATCAAAAGATCAAAATTCGTGTAACTGGATTAAAAGCTGAAAAAGTAGCAGATGATCGTGATGCAATACTTGCAAAAGATTGTCGTAAGTTTATATAAAGAAATTTTATTTAATAAGTAGTCAATAAAAAAATTCTTTTAAATAGGTCTGCATAATAAATGTGGTACAATTCTTATTCTCGGTCTTACAAATTCAGGCAAAGTAAAATATGGAAAAAAAACTTGTTTTTTTTAAATAAATCTTCCTTTTCTTTTTAGAAAACGTTGCTAAATACATTAAAAGAAAATAAATTCGATAAATATACATCAAATTTATCTTGTGGTATGAAAAACTTTTCGTTTTTGTCTAATTATAAAATTTTTTTATTCTTAGATTTTGAAGAATTAATCATCGGCAAAATGAAATTTACAATTATTGATTTAGATCATGGTGATGATCAATATAATATAACAAATATTTTATTTTTTTTTTGTTATAGGTGGTCGTTTATGGAAAGATCATATTCCAAGTGCTGATGCAATTATCTTTCTTGTTGATTCAACTGATTCAATTCGTTTTCATAAAGCAAAAGAAGCATTTGATGTTTGTATTTCATTTTTTTTATCTTGAAAATTATCTTGTGTTTTTTTAATTAGCTTTTATTAAATGATAAACAAATTTTAAATAAACCATTGGTTATTATTGGAACAGAAAGTGATTTACCAACAGGTCTTCATGAAGAGGATCTTTCAGAAGAACTTGGAGTAACATACAATACATCAAAACAAGTAAAAAGAAGAAAAAGCATTTATTTCTATATTAAAATTTTTTTTTCGTAGGCTACTTATGGTCATTTAAGTAATTTAAAATTGTATTTGTCAAACATGAAAGATATGGCTAGTTTTCGCTGTGCATTTCGCTTTATTTCGACATTTCTTAAAGAGACATAAAAGATTGTTTTTTTTTTTTTAATAAAAATTCTTTTTCTCTTTCTCGTTAGAGAAGAGTCCACCAAATATAAATGATCTGCTTGCTTGTATCTCTGCACTACACTGATTGATTCAAGAATAACGTGAAAACAAAAGGTATAATTTTCCATAAACCTTAACCAAATGATTCAGATTTGGGGTTAACATTTTTCTTTTTGTTAAATTCATTTTATTTTATCTAATTAGAATGGCCAAAATATATTCAATCTTCTCCCATTATTAACTTTTATTGAGATAAATTTTAACAAAAATTCTATTTACAATAAAGGAAAATATTGATAAAAATTTTTTGGAGGTACAAACGGTTCATTTATACGAAGACTGGTCAATTTGCTACAAGTGAGACGTGTGGCATCATTAGTAAAATTGTTTGTGACCAGAACAAGTGATTCATAGTCGATATTAAGGTTCAACAAACAAGGTAAATGACAATATTTATCGACGAGAAATTGTTCAGCATAATCTGCATGAGCACCTTGAAGATCGAGATAAATAAGATAAGAAAATTTGATCAATGATAATGATTTTTGCTTGTCTTTCCGTAGTTCTTTATTCATGATATCCATCTTTTTAAATAATGGAAAACTTTGAGAGATAACTTTGAAGAAGTTATGCTCAAAAGGACAGAAGTCGGTCATTACCAGGAATTGAACATTAACAAATATTCCACCTTCAAAAGAATTATTTAAAAAGTGATAAGTTCTGAATTGATATGGAAGTGAATAGATGTGGCATCTACTTTTGAATTCATATGGTGATGAATAGTTATGACATTTACGTTGATTTTCTCTTGTGAAAATTTCAATATGTGAAGCAACTGATCCATATTCTTTTCTTCTAAAACTACGTTGAATATCTTCATTTGACGAAAAAACAATTCCAACATTCTTCTTGTCTACATTTGTGTATATATTGAAAGTAAATTTGTTTAATCGTGGCATATCAATAAGAATATCATCATATAATTGAATACCATCAATATAATTCTTATTACTTCTTATTATCGACAGATCTAATATCAATTCTTCAAGATTTATCATTCGTCGAAGTAATGGAATAATTAAATTATCATATAAAAATGTGTGTGGATATGATGTTAACGAAAAATGTTTTAATTTTGGAAGCTTTTTCTATGCAAAAAAAAATAATTATAGAATTTGCTGTTCTTTTTTTTTCTCGAAAGATAAGAATTGACAATTATACTAACTGTATTATCGATAGTTCCTGATGTAAATGAAATTATTTCTATATTTATAATCAATGTTGATAAACAATTGAAACGTCCATCAAGTAGATAAAGACAATCATCGAAAGTTTCCACATTAATTTTCAATTCAGTTAATGTTGAAGATTTGAAATTTGTTGATGACAAGTCAAAGATACGGAACGTTGATCGATTATCGAATTGACAAAAATTTAATTTGTTTAATTGTTTACATAAAGATAATATCAAAGTAAATATAACCCAAAGTGTTTCAGAAGATGGTTCTGTTGGCTTATCTTTAACATCAATTGTAAGACATGTAATTTGTTCATTGAGAAGTTTTCGAAGAATTGTATTATCTTCAATTGAAAAACAAAAGAAAAATATAAACAAATATTAATTCCTCTATTAAATAGTTAAATAGTTTACTTGTTAAGTAATTGAAAAGAACTTCTTCTGAAAAATCCATAAGTGTTAATGAGTAAAGTTGAGGATAATTGATAGTGTGAAGAACACGTTCCATTGAATATTGTTCGACAATGAGTTCATTTATTTGACGATAAATTCGAGGTAAAATATTTTTACAAATTCTATCAAGAACTTGATTGTCTATTAAATAGACATGATCATAAAATGATTTCATTGTCTTAGAGGTCATATTAAGATTAAGAATATAAAATGGATCAAGTGCCAATTGATTAAACCGTTGAGTAATATCGACAAGTGAATATAGAACATCGACTTTATTCAGTTTGTTAAAAATAATCAATAAAATTTCATTGGGCAAATCGAGTATATTGAGGTTATTGTTATTCGATATATTCATGTCTAATTTATTCATTTCAATAGTCTTGTTTACATATATATGTTGTAGGCAAAATTGGTATTCGGGCAAATTCGGAATTTGCCTAGGCAAAATTGGAATTCTAATTCTGCCCGGTCAAAATCAGAATCCTAATATTGACTAGCGTTTTGTTGGGCAGAATTGGAATTCTAATTCTGCCCGGGCAGAATTGGAATTCTAATTCTGCCCGGGCAAAATTAGAATCTGACTAGAGATAAATTCTTAAAAAGAAAATAATCAAAATCTTAGTGTTATAACTATATTTTATTCAACAAAATCTTTTTTTCTAAACATTTTACAATTACAAGTCCAAATCTGATGATTTTCCCTTCGGTAATAATAAACATTTAACAATATCATCATGAACATATTGTTTTATAACACTTTTTGCTCGAAACCTTTCACTCGAAGAATTAATATGTTTTTCTAATTCTTTAAAATAAAGTAATTCTTCACTTTCCACTTCGACAGTTGTTGAATCCGATTGAGACATTTTTTATAAGATTGTATGTAACACGTATCTCTATATTTATACTGCTTATCGACACGTCGGTCTTTATTACAATTTTCTCTTTTTTTTTCATCTGCTGTACGTTTACTAAAACACATGTCTATGAATTTATCTCTAGTCAGATTCTAATTTTGCCCGGGCAGAATTAGAATTCCAATTTTGCCTACAACATATATATATATATACATATGTCTTTTTTTCTTCTCTCCTTTTTCTCTCACTCTCTCTCTTTGGTTCAGCTTTATGAACAAGTCTTTCTCCAGTTCAGTTGATATTTCTCCTTGATAAAGTTCAGTTGATATATTCTTTTGTTATTATTAAGTTGATTATTTTTGTTATTGTAATCACTTGCATTACATCATTAAATACAAATTCATCATCCGGATTTATGTTTCCTTGTCCATCATATCAATTTACCAGTTAAAGTAGGACTACTAACACTACTAACCTAGCTAATACAGATCTTGATTCTCTCGATTCCTTCCAGCCCATTAACATTTAATGGGCAGGAGACTTTGGATAAAGAAAAGCTATCAATACTACTGTTAGAGTGCGTGTGGGTGTGGATATGGATACGGGTATAACTTTCTGTAAAAACCCACACCCCACACCCATACCCACGCCCCCCCCCCCCCCCCCCCACCCCCCCCCCCCCCCCCCCCCCCCCCCCCCCCCACCCCCCCCCACCCCCCCCCGCCCCCCCCCCCCCCCCCCCC